CAAGTCAGGTATTATTGGCCGTAGTTCGCATGAGCGTATGTGGCGGGTACGCGCGCTAGATGGCGTGTCACGCGCCACGCGTTTTGCCGTACGCGTACCAGCTACAACTACGACATTTAAAATTACAATTATTGACCCGACTAAGATCATTAACATGGACCGCGGCGTAATTATATCATACCAGAGAGAATAATCGGTGATACCACCAAAGGATATCAACAAATAACATCAAAACACCAGAATGAAAAAACGGTAATTCTAATACACGGCCGCTGCCGGGATTATTTATATATAGACCCCGAGGCCGTGGGATACAGCAGTGGAAAGTTGGGATTACGGTGCAACGGAGTTTTGGGATGGAAATTTCGGAAGGTTTTGGGTCGTGGTGGCCGATTGTTGCTCTTTTGTGGCAGAAATTGTGGACAGCCTCGGAAGTTTTCTGTATGTGGTCCACCACAGTTACAGCATTTTGGAGCTTGTTCAGGGGTTTTAGTGCAAGCGCTGGYGGAGTGATTCCCAGCGCATTTAACACACCTTGACGGGTAGCCACAGTTACGGGAACCATGACCAAAGCGTTGGCATGCAAAGCATTGAGCCGGACCAGAGGATTTCAGTTCTTCCACAGAAATCTAGATGTAGAACAAGCTGTCAATCTGGAAAATGTCTTTGGCGGTCGGGGAAACAGCGATGTGCACGAGGCATATTGGCATAGGTTTGTCAGKGGTACCAAAACGGCGTACGAATTTAACCGAGAAGCCAAGCGATTCAAGCTCGCTTGCGACTTCATCGGTGTGGATGTCAGTTGGAATGCCCTTCAAAACTACCTTAAGGGTGCGTTCTTCGGGGAGGCCGAAGGTGTTGAAATCAATTTTATTTTCAGTCAGGGCAGTCTGGATCGTTCGGAAGTGGAAGGAGTCAGCTGTTTGAATGGAGATTTGACCGTTTAAGGTAGATTTTGCAGTGATTGAAGAGGGAGTTATGTTTGGAATTTGGTAGACAGTAGGTGCAGCTTTCCGCCAGGAACTAGAGCTTAGCATGATAGGAGAAGGTCGGGTTTGAGTCGGGGGTTACCATTAAATCATTCCTGTCCATTCTCACGCCCCAAAATGGATAATTTAAAAATTCTATTTTGGAATTCCAACGGCATTAAACATAAACTTAACGAATTACGTTCCTTAGCAATCCAACTGAAAACCGACATTATTTTACTTAACGAAACACGCCTATCCCCATCTATATAACTTCACATTCCCCACTATTTCACGTACAGGAACGACCTACCACTTGTCCGCGGCTCACCTGCGTATGGAGGTACGGCTGTCCTCATCCATCGACGCGTTGTTCACCAACACAAGTCGCATTAAATACATTCATTCAATCGTCCTCTGTCCTTATCCAACTAGATGGCCATGAGATACTCATTTCAGCTGTCTACAAATTATCCGACTCCAGTCTCACGACCAACGACCTAGACCTGTTGACTAAGAGCGCCGAATGGCAAATCTCGGCAGGTGATTTTAACGCCACACACCCCTTGTGGCACAGTTATTCGACAAACGCTGTCGGACGAGTCCTCTTTGATCATGCCCAACTATCTGACTATCCATCACTGCTCAACCCCCACATACTTCCAAAAAAYGCCAGATTCAGACCTGACGTACTCGACATCGCTCTCGTACGACTACCTTACGCAACCCAAATATACAATCTCAACGAACTTTCCACAGACCACTACCCTATCCTTCTAGAGACCTTATGTTCTCCAATATCTTCTTCCCCTCCAGCTACCAACTACTTCATTAACTGGACTAAATACAAAACAATCCTTACTAACATACCAAACTTATCTACTCAACCGATCAATGACAGTCATTCAATCGACAAGGCAATCGATTATCTGACCAAAAACATACAACACGCAATTGAAGCTAGCGTATTCACACCCAAAACTAAAAACTCTTCACTCTTACTACAAAACTACATTAAAAAAGAAATAACTGAAAAGAACAAACTACGCCGCCAATGGCAAAATAACCGTAACCCGACCATTAAACGTAAATTTAACGCCAAAATCTCACTCATCCATACCTTACTTGAAACTCACAAAACCGACCAATGGGACATCTTCCTTAACTCACTCGACCCCACGACTGATTCACATACAAACTTATAAAATGTCTCCTCCACAAGAGTCCAGCTTTCCACCCACTGATTGGCCTAAATGATCTAGGTTTCTCATCCAAAGATCGTGCTGAACTAATAGCYGATTCTCTCGAAAGCCAATTCCAAACTAACCCAAGYCCCGACTTACCAGAAGTAACAGATCACTGCCACTCACTACAAAATCTCGACATAACTAACTCTAACCTATTCACTACCCCAATCACCATACAAAATCTCATCAGAAATCTTCGCAAAAAGAAATCCCCTGGTGACGATCTCTTCACCAACACGGCTCTTAAATTCCTGCCGAACAATATTTTATTATTCCTGACAAAAATCATCAATAGCTCTTTCAGAATCTGCTACTTTCCGCTTGCCTGGAAAAAAGCAGTTATCATTTCCATTCCCAAATCAGGCAGAGACCACAAACTTCCAAAAAATTACCGACCTATTTCGCTGCTATCCTCATTATCTAAAATCTACGAACGTCTCATCCTCGACCACCTCCAAAACAATCTCCGTGACAAAATCCGCCCAGAACAATTTGCCTTCAGACCTGAACACTCAATTACTCTACGACTAACCAAACTTACCCATCAACTCAGCCAGAACTTTAACAACAACCTAAACACCGCAGCCATCTTCTTTGATGTTGAGAAAGCTTTTGATCGAGTCTGGCACCAAGGTCTCCTTTACAAGCTCTCTCAGCTCAAAATTCCGACTGAAATCGTTAAAATCATCGAATCCTTTCTTACTGATCGCACTTTCACTGCCAAAATCGAAGATTCATTCTCATCCTCCAGAAATATCCTCACAGGAGTTCATCAAGGCTCCTGTCTATCCCCCACTCTATATCTGTCCTACWTAACTACATACCAACAACTCCAAAAGCCTACCTCTTACTCTTCACCGATGATACTATGTTCTTCACCTCTAACAAAAATCCCAGGCGTGCGGCTATACAATTACAGCACCAACTCAACCTAGCAACCACCTGGTTCCACCGATGGCGTATTAAAATAATTCCAACCAAAACTGTAGGCATCTTATTTGGTCGCTTTAACACAA